TTTATGGTAATTCTAACCATTAGGAATTATCCAGTGAGTCGGTTCAATGATCATATCTCTATATGCATCATCTATCTATGTGATTTAGTTAATGAGATCAACTAATCTTTATCCAATAAAGACGATAACATAAATATTGATCTAACCGGATTACTAATGTCCAAATTAATAATCCTACGATCAAGAACAAATTTAGATTAAATTGTAAGAGACTTTGCTCTCATTATCATGATCTCTATCACGATGACAAATCTCAAAATTTAATCAAGGACCTTATCAAATTAATCAAACAATTAATAATAACTATGATAAAAGAATGACATATATTTTATATCAAATAACGTTGACAAAAATATGTTCAAATCATCAAATATGATATTGGATCTAGGCATATCTACTATATTCTTAATAACATCTGCCTCTATCAATTTGTGGTTTGTCAAACTAATAAAACCATAATAACTCTGAAAACGGCACATACCATGGAGTTATCAATCCAACTACACCAAGAGGTTCTCTAAGAACATAAGTCTTAAATGAATCCAGATGGAGATCAACTGGAGTTTTCCTTTTTGAATCCAGAGCTTCAGCGAGGTCTGCGTAGTACTCAAAACTTGCTGCGACATCATCCTGAAATATAAGAGAGCACATAAAATAAATTGTGTACTTCAAGATGAAGCAGAATATGTTTATTTCATTATGCGAGAAAATACCATATCCCAAGCAGCCTCAAATAATGTTTTTCCACAATCAAGCGATTCAAGTTTTGCAAGTTCAGACTTCCTCTCTAGTATCTAAGAAAAAATCTAAAACAGTTAGCAAATGAATCATTTTTTGAAAAGCATAATAATCATGAACAACGGTTTCAACAACACCAGGTGAAATGCAATATATACACAGCAGAGACTAGTATCCAAGAACATAATCTACTTGAGTGGAGATTTGCTGCTAAATTACTACTATTATTTTAAGGATGCTTGTCTCAACAACCATCAAAATCATGATCCTCAAATAGTAAGTTAGATACGCCTAAAATAAAAATATGTGCACCTGTTTATCCTCCGCGATATCTACAGCTGCACTACCTTTCAGGCGTCTCACGAAAAAGTTATCTACAGCTGCACTACCTTTCAGGCGTCTCAAGAAAATGTTAAAAAATTGAAAGGGACTGGCCAGTGGGAATTGAATTGGCAACCTCATAAAGATTTTGAACCCCCTTGACCATTGAGTTATACTTTTCGGTTGTAACAAGGGGATTCAATATATAATACAAGATGTACAAAACGGATTTTTGCTTTATATGTACAATGTAATTTCCGGCGAACCCCCTTCCACCTCTAAATTCGCCCCTGCTCAAAGTTAAGCCATCCTTCAATGGAGAGGTAGAATTTGACGAAGTATAGGTTGGTGATATTTCAATGATCATTAAACAGACTAGCAATATTAAGAGTCATTCAACAACTAGATGGCACTTCACCTGAGTTCAAGGACCCAGGGAAAGTGATATCAATAAAATGGTCTGCCATTAAGAAGGAAGTTTTTGCTAGTACCTGTCACCGTCTATGCGAATGGCATATTGACAAAAAATGCTCAAAAAAAAAAAATACCTCAACTTTATTGGAAACAGGATTTAGAAAAAAATATTTTGATAAGCTCTTATAGAGGTGCAAGTCACAGTCAGAGATTGAGTCGGTATGGAAAGAAATGACTAAAGAATGGGAATGTGGGAGCAATAGTTGGCTTCAAAGATTGTATGATTTAAGGGAAAAATGGTGCCCTGCATTTAGTCGCTCCATTTTCTCCGCAGACATTAAATCAACTCAGAGGAGTGAGTAGGATCTTTACTGAAAGGGCTTGCAAGACGATGACTTTAACTGAATTTGTTAATCATTATGAGCAATGGGCAACTGAAATGCGTGATATTGAGGCGACAAAGGATTTTAAATGTCAAGGAACACCCAAACTTGCTATAGAAGATTATGGGATATTAAAGTATGTTGCGAGTATCTACACAAGAACTATATTTACAAGATTTGAACATGGATTTTTGCAAGGAACATCTAAGAAGGTGACCAAATTTGAAAATAATGGCACTTGTCGCACATATACAATTCTTAGAGGGGAAGGAGGACAAACTGACACCGTTCAATTCAATTCATTTGACAATAAGTTGTAGTTGTCTTATGTTTGAATCCTTGGGTTGGTTATGTTACCATGCACTAAAAGTGTTATTCTTATATCCCTGTACAATATATTCTGAAAAGATGGACAAAGAATGCAAAACAAGGGAATGGATTTGATGAGTACAACAATATGAAGAAATCACCAACTTCATCTATGGTCATTCGCTTAAATGGTTTGCTGAAAGAATCATTTGCTGTTATGACTTTAGCTGCAAACGATGCCGAGTCTGAAGAAATTGCTAGAAAGTATTTGTATCAAGCAAGGGTTGAGATTACTAAACTCCAACATGAGTTATATGCAGAAGGTACTCATAAGAGCGATCCTATATTTAGTACAACTACTAGTCCTTCAGGAACTAATGATTCCAAATAAGAAAAAGGGTAAAGGAAGTGGATAAGGAAGATTGAAACCAAAACTTGAGCAAAAAAAGAAGAGGGCACCACAAAAGACTTTAAAAGCTAGAGCAATGCAACAACATGAGCAACAATCCTTGGGCTCAAGTCTTGAGGTTCAATCTCTAAACAATCAAATTCTAATTTTCTTAGTTTGCTGGTGGTCTTTATATTTTAATTTTTTTATTGGTATCGATTTGTTTTCTTTTCCTTTAAATTCATTGATGCAGTTATACGAAGGTTCTAATACTAGCTTTACACAAATATTGACTCAGGCTCTGCTAACCAGTTCGGAGGTTGCATTGAGAACCAAAATTCATGCATCACCGGAAGAAATATTTATTTCAATGGTTCAGAGAAGTAGTTTTGTATCCTAATTAATAATTGAGTTGGGACTGATGGAATTATTTCAACAATGGAGTTGTTGGCTCCACAGATTGACCGAAAAGGGGTTCATAATATTTGTTCGGTTATAAAAACTTCTCATTAATGGTAGAATTGGAAGTTTAAGCTAAATTGTTTTTAAATTTAGAAAGGGATCATTCTGTTTGGAACGGACCAAAAAGGAAATAAATTTGCATAAACTTGAATGGAGGAAGTAACACATAACAATTTGATGAGTTAATAAGCATTGATCGTTTTATATTATGCAGGTTACTCGTTCCCTTTTAGGAAACTCCCTTGATGTGGTTGCCGAGGTGCAAAAGGTACAAATACACTTTCATAATTAGGCTGATATTTTCTCCACTCCAACTGGTATTGTTGTTCGATTCTTTCTTTCATTTCTCACCCCACCTGCTGAATTCCACTTGTGATATCTGTTTGCAGTTAAGCCCGTTACCATCAGGCACTTGTGGACAATTATTTTAGGGTCATTTATCGCTGTAATTTCAGTAATTTATTATTAATGTGTGAGGTTATTTTATTGCTCTTTCTGACCTATATTATCTGAAGTTATTTCACTAGGTAGAGAATAATAACATGCTTATGACTTTTGCAGTTTTTTGATGGTGTCAAAAGATATTAAAATTGTTTCTAAAAAGTTAATTAGAGAGAAATTTGAACAGTCAAATTACTGCAAGATAGTTTGTATCATTGATGGGATGGTGTTGGGATTTTCCAAAATAAAGTCTCATGTAAAACAGAATCAGTTCTTATACAATATTTTACTAATATTCTTGGATTAGGGACAAAGAACTAAATTAAGAGTGAGAGAAAAGGACCACAAATGTGAAAGTAAGAATTGAGCACAAAGTTTGCGGTGCCGTCCTATCTCATCCCTTACATTCTTCTTTCTCTCTCATTATCTTTTTTTTTGGTGGAAAGATAGGCAATATTATAACATAACAAATATTTACATAAGTTTAGAGTCTTGGATGCATACACGATACAAAGATATCCGTTGTACAAAGATAGAGCTAGATTGTTTGTTCCCACTACGTGGGAAACAACACTAGTACTGGAAGTAGAAGCTCAACAAAGCTATTCACTGTGTAACTGTGAAATAGGCAAAAAATATCAAACCACGTAAATATTATCTTGTCTTGGATTTTTCACACCACGTGCCTTCATCCCCGGCCTCCAGCGGCAACCCCACCCCCTCCCCTAACCCACATAATAGCATCAACCTGGATTATTCACACCACGTGCCTTCNTTTCTACTTATCAAAAACCAGAAAATAAATAAGAAAACTACTTTGAAATATTTTCCTTCAAGCACATCCTATATCCTGTATAATTGAAGCTCAACGCTATTCCATTTTCAGACATAACTATGAAATCAGCACCGAAATAAAGATCATTTCTCTGTTTCTGAAACTAGTAAATGTCTGCATCTGGGTTCTAATAAATTCCACAAAAACATAACCAGTTTCATGTAGTTTTAGAATTTCGTAGATGTCAATCTTGTCCATGAAACCATATTTTTTAAACATAATTATTTCCTGGATAAAATCAAACAATATGTAAGAAGAAGCCAAATCGGTATACACACCTTAGCAGCAATAGCACGAAGATATTTTGCGCGCTGTGCCCCTGTTGTTGAGCCCCAGTCATCCCGAGCTAGCGCTCTCCGAGCAGCTTCCACAGCTATATCCACATCTTCCTCAGTAGCAGCCGGTATTTCCCCTGAAAAATTCCAATTTCCCCTTGTTGTAGTAAAACTAAATAAGCAAATGTGTTCTTTTTCTAATAGCTTACTGGCGAAGCCAGAAAATTCAATATGGGTGTTCAAATTTTGAACATCCTTTGCTAGTGAGTTATGCAAGGTGTTTAAAATCTGTTTTTATCAATAACAAGTACTAATATTTTAACTTATATGTAGTATAATTTTTCGACAAAGGGTATTAAGTTGACCACCCTTGGGACAACATGGATTCGCCCCTGCTTACACGCAATTCAACATGATACTGTATCTAAGAAGATAGAACTCCCCATTATCAAAAAAAAAAAAAAAAAAAAAAAAAAAAAAAAAAAAAAAAAAAAAAAAAAAAAACTTCCATGTGGTTGGTCAAAAATATATACCCACAGGTACTTCACAATTCAACAAGGTAGAAAAATATCAAGAAAGACGATGAAGATCAATGCAAGAACTAAGTATGCAAATAATAATTTGCTGAAATATACCGATAATTTCTTCAGTAGCCGGACTGATTATAGGTATTCTGTTCTTCTTGACTGGTTCTCTCCATTCACCGTCGATGTATAGCTGTCGGCTGGGAATACGTACGTTTGGAATTGCCATATCTCGATATGATCACTCAAAATAGTTGATTCTACTTTACATTACAACAAAAATAGAGCAGGGAGTAAGTTGTTATTTATAGAAGCAGTCACCTAAGTTCACAACCACAATATTGACCAAAAAAAAAAAAAAAAATCCCAACCACTTACCAAAAGATGAATGAAAGGTGGAAAAAAGAGAAAAGATAGCTCCAAAGTGGAATTTTTTCTTACAGCCTATTACAGGGCGTGCCCAGCATTTTTCAATATTTATAGAAGAGCGGAGAATAAATAATACTTAGTCCGTAATTAGATGAGGTATTTTTCTTTTTGGCCTGTTCCAAAATAAATGACAAATTTTTAAATTTAAAAATAATTCATCTTTAAACTCTTCATTTTACCTTTAATGAGAAGCTTTTATAACCACACAAATGTCATGGCACCAAAAAGCTTCTATCCCTTAAGCTTTTAAGACCACAAGTTGCAAAAATCTTTTTTTCCCCTTAAACTCCGTGCCGAGTCAAACTACCCCATCTAAATTGAAACAGAATGAGTACTAGTATATCATATTACAGTACCTAACGAGAAATAGCCTTAGTCAATTGATTTTGTTGAGTCTTAAGTTAGAAGATGTCATGAGTTCAATTCTTTCTACCTATCTACAATTTTTAACAATAGAGGCTCTCTCAAATATTTGCTTTAAAGAAAAAATCTAGTTGAGATTCAAACCTCTAACCTCTTAGAGCAAAATTAGGAACTTAACCAAATTGCCAAGCAACAATATGTGGTGTCATTTCTTTTATTTTATTATTTCCGTACAGTATTACTATATATATCTCGTAAAAAATTTCGACGATATTGCTTCGTTCCACGTGCATTCATCCATGACCAATAAGTAGCATGGGGATGGCTAATGAATGCAATGCTTAATAATTGCCTTTTAGTCTATTTAAAAAAGAATGTTTATTTTATTATTCAGAAATAATTTAACTTTAAAAAATCGTTTGGGTATGGAATTAGGATTATAATCCCATGATACAATTTGAGATTGTATTTATCATATGCTTATACACTTTTTATACCAAAATGGTGTATTAACTATCTTATATTGGATGTGGGATAACAATCTGAGGATTATAAGGTTATTAATCCCTGGATATCCCGTTTTGCAGTCAAATAACTTATAAACCCTTATTTTATCTATAATGAGATAAATTATAGCCACATGAATATTTCTACCTTGTTTTTAAATCACAAGTTTCAAAAGATGTTTTTCTTTTAAATCAGTCAAGCACTTTCATGTAAATTGGGATGAATGCGACAAAGGCATAAATGCAATAAAAATAAAAACAGGGACCAGAGTGTTTTTTTAGAACTTCTCAACGACTCTTTCAGTTAGTTACAACGTAAGCGAACAACCGCTTACACCTGTTGCACGTCTATTCCACTCATTTGGAAATTTGTGCGTTTGCCTGTTGATTTCAAGATATAATGTTTATCTTAATCATTTGCGTAAATCTTAGTGTTACGTATGAATTGAAGCGTTTGACTTTTAATTAGAAAAATATTTAAAGTAATTTATTCTTAAAGAAATGGTTCAACCCTAGATGCAGCTGTAGTGATAGTACTTTCTTAATTCCCTTTTTCATTTTCATTTTTTTGTTTTTGTTTTGCTTGGTGGGGTTTAAACACAAAGTTTTTGGACTATGCAGGAAACTGTTGATTACGTATCATTTACTCGTTGATATTTACATTTTTGGCACTAATTAATTGCATCAGATATGCTCCGTATTAATTACTTCATTTATATCACATTATTTTTTATTGTATTTCATGTGTATTATATCAGTACTAATCGTTACTTTCTCCGAATTGTTCTTACTTAAATTGTATTGTGTGCATTTCATACAATGCATTAATTAATTTATCTATCTTTTAATTTCTGCCCATGTCAGGCTTTAAATTACGCTATTTAGAGAAGTCTCTTGATTACTGGAGAGAACGATATTATCTCTAGTCTTTGGGGAATCTATTAATTATAGCATATATACATTTATATTTATAGCTTTGGCTTAGCTTGAGTTTACATACGTAAGATTCATTTGTCTATTTAAAAATGCGAGATTCTTTTTTTTTTTTGGGTGTAACTATTCAATCTTATTTTTAAATTTGAAATTCTTTTTTTTTTCTCCTTTTCGCGTAAATTATTCACGCTTTTAAAATTAAACTATTTAGAGAACAACCAATTCCTTGGGTTAGTGGAGGACCATATTATCTCAATTCTTTGGTAAACGGATGCGAGATTCTTTTTTTTTTTTTGGGCGTAACTATTCAATCTTATTTTTAAATTTGAGATTCTTTTTTTTCTCCTTTTCGCGTAAATTATTCACGCTTTTAAAATTAACCTATTTATAGAACAACCAATTCCTTGGGTTAGTGGAGGACCATATTGTCTCAATTCTTTGGTAAACGTATAAATTTAGAACCATGCATTTTATATTTATGACCTAGCTCGAGTGTACATGTGTGCGTATAGTATTCATATTTAAATGTTGAGATCTTAAATTTTCTTTTTACGTCATTGTTTAGGCTTTAAACTATTAAGATAACACCCAGTCTCTTGAATTATTAAAGGATCAAATTATCTCATGTTTTAAGTGAATCTTTAAATTATAGGATACATACATGCATCCTGAACTATACCCAAAACTAAAGGTACATCCTTAAGCTATGAGAGTAACCAATATACATCCTTTGTAAGATAGTTTGTTATTGGCAAGTTGGAAGTGAGACGTTTCTTTCTCGTACCGTACCTGTTAGCCTCGGAACTGATCATTATGAAATAGCACTCAACAGGCACGAGACTAACTAAACAGGCACGAGATTGACTCAACATGCACGAGACTGACTCAACAGGCACGGAATTGATTCAACAGGCACGAAATTGACTCAACAGGCACGAGACTAACTAAACAGGCACGAGATTGACTCAACATGCACGAGACTGACTCAACAGGCACGGAATTGATTCAACAGGCACGAAATTGACTCAACAGGCACGAGATCCTAGAGTTAATTATTTTTAACAGAAAAATCAAATTTATTTGAATTTTAAATTCAAAATTCGAATAAATAGTCGTGTCTGTTTGTGAAACAAGACATCTTTTCTGAAAGGGTCTGTTGGTTGCCTATAAATACACAAGAATTCCAACGAAATGAAAATAGAAAATCACAAGTGTTATTGCAGGCTTTGTTGTATCTTGAAGAGAATCGTTTTGTATTTTCCCTAAATTAGTATACAGGCGATAACTCTTTAAGGACAGTCGATTTTCACGCCTCAAAGCTAATTTTGATTATTATATTCTAACAATCTTAAAGAGTTATTCTGCTATGGAGAAATTGATGTCTGTTATTGAGAATCCGAAGGAGTTCATCAAACTTGATCGCTTTGATGGAACGAACTTTACCCGTTGGAGAGACAAGATGACATTCTTGTTGTCCGCTCTCAATATCTACTATGTTCTTGATTCTGCGTTGCCTCCGATGCCTAAGCCCACAACAGAAGATTCTGACGTAGTCAAGGAAGAAAGGAAGAAACGAGAACATGATGAACTGTTGTGTCGCGACCATATTCTGAATACTTTAACAGATCGACTCTATGATCTTTACTGCAATCTGAAGTCGCCAAGAGAGATTTGGACTGCTCTACAAACTGCATACCAGAATGAAAAACGAGGTATTGACAAATTCCTGGCTCTACAGTGCTTTGAAATTAAAATATTTGATACTAGGACTATAATGGATCAGATTCATGAACTGCAAATCTTAGTATCAAAACTAAGTGATCTTGAAGTTAAAATTCCTGATGCACTTCAATTAGGTGTTATTCTTTCGAAATCGCCTTCCTCTTGGAATGACTATAGAAAGAAAATCCTACATTCTATGGATAAAATGACTGTGGAGCAATTTCGTACTCACATTCAAACTGAAAGTGAGACTCGTGCTCGTGATGCTATTAGTCAGCCTTCGAGTTCCGCAGTCAATTTTATCAGTCAGAATGATTCAGGAAGTGGGAACAAACATCTGAAAGTTTCCAAAAAGTTTTCTTTTAAAAAGAGAAAGAAATTTTAGTTGTCATCATTGTGGAAAGAAAGGCCATATGATTCGGGACTGCAGATATAGAAAGGCAGGAATAAATTTCAATGCAGGCAATACCGAAAAGTCTGGAAAGATTAAAAAATCTGGAAATTCTGAAAAGGCAAACGTAGTGGAAAATTCTGCCCAAGGACTGGTTGCCATGGTTTCCGCAATGCAAATTGGTATGGTCACAGAGTTGAATGTGGCTACCGCTGCTACAAATACTCAAGACTGGTGGCTAGATTCGGGTGCTACTATTCATGTCTGTTATGACAAGAAGATGTTCAAGACATATGCAGAAGTGCAGGATTCTGAACAAGTCTTGATGGGAAACCATGTTGCGGCAGATGTTGCTGGAAAAGGAAGTATTGAGATTAACTTCACATCTGGCCAGAAGTTGACGTTACTGAATGTGTATCATGTTCCTGATATGAAGAAAAACTTAATGTCCGCTGCTTTGCTGTCAAAGAAAGGCTTCAAGATAGTTATTGGATCTGATCATGTAATAGTGTCTAAGAATGGAGTTTTTGTTGGAAAAGGCTATAACTGTAACGGCATGTTCAAATTGAGTATTAATGAAATAAATTATGTTTCTGCTTACATCGTTGAATCTGATTCTTGTTTATGGCATGCTAGACTAGGACATTTAAATTTTGGCTCCTTGAATTATATGTCCAAAAATGGTTATATCTCATGTAAAACTCAACATATAAAATGTGAAATTTGCATACAAGCAAAGATGACTAAGAAACTATTTCGTAAAGTTGAAAGATCCACGGAACTATTAGATTTAATACATTCAGACTTGTGAGAATTAAATGGAGAATTAACTAGAGGAGGCAAAAGATATTTTATTACTTTTATAGACGACTTCTCTAGATTTACATATGTTTACCTACTTAGAACTAAGGACGAAGCTTTTCAAAAGTTTAAAGAATACAAGTCTGTTGTGGAAAATCAAAGGAGTAGGAAAATTAAAATTATTCGAAGTGATAGAGGCGGAGAATATTTTCCTAACGAATTTAATAAGTACTGTGAAGAGCATGTCCTAATACATCAAATGAGTGCCCCTTATACTCCTCAACAAAAAGGGTTAGCGGAAAGAAAAAATAGA